GCAGCAGCTCCACAGGGCTGGAGAGCAGCAGAACCCATCAGTGATAGCGGGGACAGCAGGACGCGGCCTCCCGAGGGGACCGGGGTGACACCCCAGCGCGTTCCAGCTGGCGGTGACGTCCCACCAGCACCGGTGGAGACACTTCGGGGCCACTGGAGGCCAACGCGTGGCCAGCGGCCGGTTGGGTTGAGCCTCGTAGGACACCAGGGCGCCAAGAGGGTGACACCGGCCACCCGTCACCGGTCCGCTCACCTCGTGACCTGCTTGTGGAAGTCCGTCAGCTGTTTGTGGGTGACTTGGATGGCTCCTCCCGTCGTTTCCTTTGGTAAACCCTTCAGCGAGTTCTCCAGCCAGCGACAAAACGTCTGCGAGGAAGCGCCAGAAGGGAGAGAGAACTCAGGACGCGCCGTCAAACCCAACTCCCGGCGCGGGGCGGGGGCGGCGTTGGGATTCGGCTGAAGCCCGACGTCTCCCAACGTCTTTTCGGGGCGAGGAAGGGTCACCCCGTCCTTCTCACCGGCCGGTCGATCTGCATGATCTCCCAGAGCACCTCGGCGACGTCGGGCAGGGTGTACGGCGGCAGGCAGAAGCAGCACGTGTGAAGGAGCTGGTTGACGAGCTGCTGGCCCAGTTGGTTCATCACTTGGCTGATCAGTTCCTTCCGCACCTCGAAGTCCTCCTCGTGCTGCGGGAGGAAGGAGACGGTGGGGAGGAGGGGAAGGTTGAGGAGCACCTGGGGACGGGGACACACTGCCTCTCGCTCGGGGAGCGGTTCCCAGAGCACGGTGGGGACTTGGCTACGGCAGTGGGGACCACGGTGACCAAATGGCGGCGAGGATGGTGTCTCATGTGCCTCAGCACAGGAGAGACATGGAGCTGGTGGAGCGGGGCCAGAGGAGGCCCCGGAGATGCTGGGAGGGCTGGAGCCCCTCTGCTGGGAGGACAGGCTGGGAGAGGTGGGGGGGTTCAGCCTGGAGAAGAGAAGGCCAAAAAGGGGAGAGCTCAGAGCCCCTTCCAGTGCCTAAAGGGGCTCCAGGAGAGCTGGGGAGGGACTCTGGGTCAGGGAGGGGAGCCGTGGGACGAGGGGGAGCGGTTTGACACTGACAGAGGGGAGATGGAGATGAGATGTGAGGAGGAAATTCTTGGCCATGAGGGCGGTGATCCCCTTGGGCAGGTTGCCCTGAGAAGCTGTGGCTGCCCCATCCCTGGAGGTGTTCAAGGCCAGGTGGGACGGGGTTTGGAGCAACCTGGGCTGGGGGGAGGTGGCCCTGCCCCGGGCAGGGGGGTGGAACTGGATGGTCTTCAAGGTCCCTTCCCACCAAAACCATTCGGTGATCCTAAGACACCCCTCCCGAGGAAGAGCCCGACGGGTCACTCACGTCGTTGGCCACCCCGGTGTGGATGAGATCGCGCAGGAACTTCATGACGCTGCAGTTGGCGTCCCGGTGATCCAGGGTGGTGGCGGCGATGGCCCACTGCAGGATGGGGATCATCACCTGGCTACGTAGCAAGGTGACGGGGCTGCGCTGGATAAACCTGGCCGGGCAGAGGACGGACAGACAGACAGACAGACAGACGTTACCGGGGCTTGGCCTGGCCTCATCGGTGGGAAGGCAGAAGACCGTGCAGCCACCCAGGGCGAGACGAGCGCTCCCACGGGGACCACTCCATAAGGACAGAGAGGGGTTGGGGTGTCCCCACGCGGCAGCAGAAGGTGACAGGAGAGCGAGCGTACCTGGCAGCTAGTCGGAAGAGGTCATCCACGGTGTCCGGGTGGTTCTGAAGGCCATTGGGCTGCTCCAGGAGTTGGAAGGTGGGTATGCATAGCGCCTAGGAGAAGGGTCGGGGGGAGATCCGTTAGGAATTAGTTCTAATGACACCTCAAACCGCCCTTCGCTCCGCAGGGAGATTTCCAGCATGGACCAGTTCGGCTTTAACCAAAAAAAAAAAAAAAAAACCCCACCACCACCTTCTCCTTGGTTTTCACCCAGCCACCGCCTGCGGGGAGAGCAGAGAGGTGCCGGGACCAACCGTGGTCTGTGTCACACCAACCCTCCCGGCACCGCAGGGGGCAGTTACTGCGCCGGCACGGGGGGATAAGGAGAGCAACGGAGCTGGTGAGGGGTCTGGAGGACACGTCTGATGGGGAGCAGCTGAGGGACCTGGGGGTGTTCAGCCTGGAGAAAAGGAGGCTGAGGGGAGACCTTCTCACTCTCTACAGCTCCCTGAAAGGAGGGGGTAGCGAGGGGAGGTCGGTCTCTTCTCCCAAGGAACAGGCGATGGGACAAGAGGGAACGGCCTCAAGTTGCGCCAGGGGAGGTTTAGGATGGAGATTGGGAAAGATGTCTTCACCCAAAGGGTTGTCCAGCACTGGAACAGGCTGCCCGGGGAAAGGGTTGGGTCACCATCCCTGGGGTTATTTAAAAGATGTGTAGATGTGGTGCTGAGGGACATGGTTTAGTGGTGGGCTTGGCAG